CAACAAGTAACACCATAACCACTCCGTTAAACATCACATTTACTGATACAACACATACATTGATATATATACTGTATATACAAAACATATGGCACAGGCTTGGTGCTCACCCACGCTCATATAGTATTTCAATAAATGGTAACACACACAGGAAGTCTAGAATGTGCTTTATTGTGTCAAACTCCAAACATGACACATACATCAAATGTGCAGTTCAATGTTTCGACCCTACAAGGATAAATGCTACCATCTATTGGTAGAGATGTCGCGAACTGCTCGCCGTACTGTTCGCGAACTGTCCACCGGCGAACAATAGCATGTTCGCGTTGGGCGAACATATACGATTTCCGGTCCGCCCCCTATTCGTCATCATTGAGTAAACTTTGACCCGGAACCTCACAGTCAGCAGACACTTCCTGGGAGGGAGGGTCTGCTGCTGATTGGCTGGAATGTGTCTGCTGACTGTGAGGTTCCGGGTCAAAGTTTACTCAATGATGACGAATAGGGGGCGGACCGGAAATCGTATATGTTCACCCAACGCGAACACGCTATTGTTCGCCGGCGGACAGTTCGCGAACAGTTCGGCGAGCAATTCGCGACATCTCTATCTATTGGATACCTCCAAAACACCACATGCATTCACAAATAACACATCACAACACAATGCAATCATTAATATTTTAACACTATAATTGATACCAAAACACAATTTCTAATAAAATATGACATAACTATTATTGATACAACAACACATGCACTGATATATTTTATATCACATAAGATAATAGCATTACTGATACCTCCAAAACATGCCATGCAAGCATCACAGCACAATGCAATCAGTAATATCACAACATATCACCCATACTAGTATAACTTGTCACAAAGCAATTACTGATTGCAAACATAACACAGAACAGCAGAACTGTAAACACATTTTACTAACACATACAGCAATATAGGCTTAGCTAAAATAGGAAAATGTTAGTTGTTTTGAAAGATGACAGATCTCTCTAGTATATTCCTTACTGCAGTATAAGTGGAGATGGATAGGGAGAATTATTGAAGTAGGTAAAATCTCTCATGTTTCTCTTTCTCAATCTCTGTTCTTCGATGTTATATTCTCTGATGTTTTAACCTGAACATTTCCACAATGTTGGTAAAGGGATGAATAACAGTAAAGGACCCATGGCTAAAGTTTTTAAAGAGAATACCTGTGTAAGCATGGCCTCCTTCATATTGCCTATAAGATCCCTGTATAACATACCAATATGGTGCAGCTTTATAAGAAGATACAATTATGCAGTTATGCAGTCTCCTTAAAGATTTCCTTTGAATTAAATTAATAGATTCATCTTACCATAGGAGGGTGGGCGGTCACTATGGGTCGAGAGATTGTAATATTTCCATGCACAGTCGATTTGGATGTGCCGGCTCACTAGACCACTCTTAAAAAAAAATAGAGAGCTTAAGGAAAATAGAGACGAATAGTGGAAAAAAGTATCGAGGGTATGGAAATGGAGGGACGAGGGACAACAGTGGAATAACAGAGGGATGTTAAGGAATGATGGGTGAGTAACTGAAGTGAAAAGAAAACAGGAGATGATAAGGGAAAACAGAAGGAGGATAAGGAACGGGGAAGAAAAAGAAATGAGGTAGGAAACAAGGAACAATAAAGGAGAGCAGAGGATAGGTATGGAAATAGGTAATGAATATGGGAAAACAGGAATAGTAAAAAAAACATGGAACAATAAAGGAGAGCAGAGAGAGGGTAAGGAACAGGGAGAATAAAGAAAAGACAGAGTAAAGAATGAAAACATGAAGGAAATTAAAGAAAAGGCAGAGGAAGGTTAAAGAACAAGAGATGATCCTTAATTGATGTACGTACAGGGTCTTGCTCACAGATATAAGCTGCGTTAAACTGAGCGATCTCAAACCCCGTCTCTGCTGCCTGAATGTAATGAA